AAATCTTATTCAAGTATGATTATGTATCAAATTAGTCATCCATCGTTATGTTTATAATAAGAATAAGTGTTGACAGTGTTAATTATTTGAGAACTTAGTCAATTTATTGTCTTAGTAGAATTTAGCATATTTGTATGACGCTTTAGCGAAATCGCCACCAACATAATCATGTTTTGTGTCTTAATGATAGATGGGTAATTTCAGATCTATTGATCAATTTGACTATGCGTAATGAAATGCTAACACAAAATCTTATTCAAGTATGATTATGTATCAAAATTAGTCATCCATCGTTATGTTTATAATAAGAATAAGTGTTGACAGTGTTAATTATTTGAGAACTTAGTCAATTTATTGTCTTAGTAGAATTTAGCATATTTGTATGACGCTTTAGCGAAATCGCTACCAACATAATCATGTTTTGTGTCTTAATGATAGATGGGTAATTTCAGATCTATTGATCAATTTGACTATGCGTAATGAAATGCTAACACAAAATCTTATTCAAGTATGATTATGTATCAAAATTAGTCATCCATCGTTATGTTTATAATAAGAATAAGTGTTGACAGTGTTAATTATTTGAGAACTTAGTCAATTTATTGTCTTAGTAGAATTTAGCATATTTGTATGACGCTTTAGCGAAATCGCTACCAACATAATCATGTTTTGTGTCTTAATGATAGATGGGTAATTTGAGATCTATTGATCAATTTGACTATGCGTAATGAAATGCTAACACAAAATCTTATTCAAGTATGATGCAGCTTAGTGCGATGATGTTAGTTAAGGGTATTTTGATGAAAGTCCTGGAAATCAGGGCAGTTTCGCATCTATTGTCCTTTTTTACATTTTACAAACCCTTTGGAAGTCATCAGTTCTCAAAAGAGGCTGAATGAATCTGTAGCAAACTAGTTATTAACATAATAATTTTGCTTGGTGTCTTTGCTAGTGATGTTGGTTAAAGTTATTTCGATGGGTGTCTGTTGGGTGAATACGTGTTTTTGTTCTTGACGACACCAATGAAACATAATAGAACAATATGAAACTACAAAACTAGTCACTGAGTGGTTAATCATTGATTTTTAATCATCTACCTGTATTCCATTAATCATCGGGGATCAAAGATTGCGATTATTGACCGCGATGACAATCAATCAAAAACATAAATATGTTTTAATCCAGTGAATCCGATTAGTAATCATGATTGAAACATATAAATAATGATTAACTCCAATATGACATCATATTCTCAAATTGTCACTTGGCTTTCACATAAGTATCATCTTAAGTATGGCTGCTGTTTTTCCAAACGTTTCGTCGTTGCCCGCAGGGAACTATGAAGTATTGGGATTTGGACCACAATCTTCAGAAGGTAAGTACAATTAATTATTTCTTGCTTATATATGTGCTAAAGGTGAAGGTTAACTTATATACTTATCTAGATATATTGAGCACTATTTTAACAGTGAAAATATTTTATTGTACTCCTCTTCCATGCTCAATCCTTTTATCTATTATAATTTGTCTATTTCCAGATTGTGAACAAGTCTTTGATACAAGATTTGATGAATTCTATGACCAAGAACCCTACAGTTATACTGGAGTTTCAATCGTCAACCTACAGAATCTGGTAGATGAAAGAAAAGTCGTCCATAAAGATTCTACCCATCATTTGGAGACTTCCTCGATACCACCGATTTACGAACAACTGAAATCCTTCATCGTTGAAGATGCAACTAGAACTGGTTTCCCAATCTCACTATTTTCTTCTGTTTCAAATGTTACTGACGTGAAGGTGAAAGAAAAGGCTTTGCTAGAATCCTTCGACAGTCTTCGCCCGTTATACCCAGAACCGATCATGCAGCTCTCTTGTTCGTACAAGTATACT